GTGTGAAAGGACGATGGTTCTCTGCCAACACTGGGTTTTGTGTAAAAGGATGGACGGTTCTCTGCCGCACCGGGGAGTGGTCAAAAGAGTGTGTTGTAATGGCTTCTCCGCCTTGCTGTGGGTGCAAAAGGAGAGTCACTATTGGTATTAGTGCAATACTCAGAGGGTGCCTTTGGGGAGTGGATGTAGGTCTGGTTATAGACCGAACCACTATAAATCTGGTGTCATTTACTTTACTGTTTTTACGTTTCTGCACTTTATATTTCAGTTTTAAAAAAACTCTGTGATTGAAAAACATTTTTCTACAAAATTTAAAAGAAATTTTATTTCGGTTCAATAATTTTCTAAAAGGGGATTTAAATTTTTTAAACTACCAATTCACCCCCCTCTTGGTAGCCTTGGGACATTTACTTAGGCTTAACAACCTAATTACTAGACTCAATAAAAAGTATACACCAAGGTACATTCTCTTGCAAATTTCTAGTAAGAATATCAATAACTAAAGCAAAAAAACTTACACCAAAATACATTCTCCAGCAAATTTCTAGTGAGAATATCCATAACTAAAGCCAAAAGAATACACCAAGATGCATTCTCTTGCAAATGTATAGTGAGAACAACCATAATAAAAACAAATTAAAAGCATACATCAAGACACATTCTCTTACAAATGTTTAGTGAGAACATCCCTAACAAAAGCAAAAGCATACACTAAGGTTAATTCTCTTGAATATGTCTAGTGAGAACATTCATAACAAAACCAAAAAGAATACACCAAGCTACCTTCTCTTGCAAATGTCTACTGAGAACATCCATAACAAAAGTAAAAGCGTACACCCAAGTTCATTCTCTTGTAAATGTCTTGTGAGAACATCCATAACAAAAGTAAAAAAGAATACACCAAGATACCTTCTCTTACCAAAGGTAGCGACCTTCTCTTACCAGAGGTAGCGACCTTCGCTTACCAGAGGCAGCAACCTTCTCTTACTGGAGGCGGCAAGTAGAGGACACCGATAGCGATGAACGGTGCAATTTGGCGGCAAAAGTCAATAAGGGTCCAATCGCATTCAGGGCAACTCTAGGATACGAGTGAAGCTAACCAAAGGAAGATGGAAAGAAATGAGAAGAAAGATGACAGAGGGGTCGAAAAGGGCCCTTTTTGTCAAATTTTTTGGATAAATTATCTGTCGGTCATATCACCGATAGATAATATAAAGGTAACTAATCATCGAGAGATTCATCGAGTTTAAATAAGTTGGTGTAATGTTTGTCGGTAATCCACTGGTAATAACCTACAGAATTTGCGACATAACATTTTTAAATATAGGAGAAGAATTGGCGAAATATGCTCTTCTGTTTTAACGACAGAAACTTCATCAGAAATTTTGTTGTTAAGTTACCAGCATATATTCCACCTATTAGGCCGCCTTGTTTTTCAGCATATGCTTATTCATCAGAAAGTTTGACGGTAATGACATATTTTTTTATAGTGCCAAAAGCAGTACAATAAGGAAAGATTCAAAAGAATGATGATGAATAAATATGACATGACATGCACAATTATCATTTAAAATGAAAACTTGAAGAGATTCTAATTGTATCTTGGTATCCCCTGCATCTCAACAGTTTCAAAATAGGAGATAGTGGATTTCATTACAGTTATAATAAGTTTAAAATAACAAATTTATCTTTTAATAAGATACTTTTTCATGTTGGAAAAGGTATCATTAGCTTATTTTACCTAGTTTGTATTAGGTTAAATATTTTTTCTTCTTAAATGCAATTTATGCATCTTCTCAAAAAAAAAAAAAAGAGAGATTCTAATTGAAAAAAATTATGAATTTATATAATTAATAATTTAAGTCCAAGAGCACATAAGAGATCAAATTGTTAGAAGTCAATTCCACGGTTTGTATTTAGGTGTTATTCATTTTTATTTATCACTTATAAATATGATTATTAATTATATATGCTTACTATATTTTGTAATGATTCTTGAAATAATTAAAATTTATCACATGTTATTTTAGCCCCCTTAAATCTAGTTAGATATTTGGTCGATTATACATTTACTTAAGTACAAGCAAGAGCTTTTATTTTGAGGAATTTGATTAGTTAGTTTTATTCACTAAAATATCTTAATAATTTAACATATTTTTAAAGTATTCTTATATTTATGTTAATAAAAATAGGATGAGAAGTGCCAAAATTATGGAGCAAATAAGAGTAAGAGAGGATTAAGGACTAAGGAAGAGAAATTTAAGGCACGCTCATGATTTGAATTGCAACACTATGACGCAGCATCATTAAGTGCAATGGCACTTAATAGCATTGAAGAGCAACCCCTTTTGGACTTTTAAACAACAATTTCCAAAAATTTTGATAGAGTAACTAACACCTTGGAATTGGTCCCATGTGCTAAGGTGCTATGCCCAATGAAGAAAACATAGAAGATACATAGTAGGCAATGCCTTGGCACTTGACTAGAGCATTGTAGCACTATAATTAGAATATGTTCATTTTGAAGTTGTCAGAAAATCATAAATGGCTTATTTTGTTGTTTGAAGGGTTATGTTAAGAAGTTTAATAAGGTGATTTAAGTGAGAGCGTCCATCAAGGGGAGATTTCTGAGAAACAATGAGATAAGGCAAAAAAAATTTAAAGCAATTTTTGGCTCAAAATAGTAACTCATGATCAATAAGTCTTGTTTTACTAAATCTATTGTATACTAGTTTTATTTTCTGAGTTTATAATCTGATCAAAACATCTTCATAAATATAATAGTTGTTTCTTGTTCATGTTCATTTCATGGTTGTTTGATTTAACTTATTATTTATTCAATTGATTACGTGGAAAACTTTCAATTTAAAATCTATAACACTTCTTGATATCATAAGAGTCCTAAAGGGCCTGAGAAAGATAAATTAACATAGGATTATACTTAGTTAGGATGTACAAACATTTATGAATGAAACTTCGTGAGACCTATTTTTAATTAATTCACATATAAATA